CGTTTTAAATTAGCCCAGTCATTTTTCTGTTTTAAGATATGTTTATTTATACTGGCTGTTTGGATTCACACCGTTTTAATTAAATTCGCCCACTTCTGAGTAGGACAAAAGGGACGAAAATAAAACAGTTGCGAAAATTTCCCTGTTTCAATATATGTGTCTTTGCTCAAGATGAATATAATTAATCATCTTTGTAGTGAATGTATTTGACCTGTTGTGAAGATTTTCTGAATGCTTTGGATACCTTTCATGAGCTATCGGATATTGGTGATGAGTTACGGACATGAGAACAATCCATTTTATATTGCCAGACACAAGAGATAAAAAGGACATTTAGAAGCCTTTCAAAGTGGAGAAATTATGTTTGGTTAATACTTAATAATCACGACAAATTTACATGAAATTTGTTTTCACATTCTTAAGGGATGAAGTTTATTTGCTCCTTCACAAGTGATATAGGGTTAACATTATATTAGAGTAACTGCAAGTACTATAACTGTATTTTTTTTAAATGTGCCAAATACTAATTACTGGAAGAAAATGGAAAAAATACAGCTACAGTAGAAAAAAGGATGAGATCGATGAGCTCTTTGAAATTCATTCTTTGAAGAAAATTCATTGCTTTTTTTATATGGTAGCCAATGCTAATAACCGTGCGTGTACAACACGAAATGTAAGAAAAAAATATCAGTAATCACGCTCAGATGTAAAGTTATAAGATAACCATGCAAATTTAGAGAAGAGCAAACAAGGACCTCTAAAAACACGGGGTGGGATCAGATATCATGGACAAGTAAGCACCCCCTGTCGATTGGTGACACCGTCTTGTGCCCCTTGGTATGAAAAGGTAAACGGATAAATGGGTATATAAGACAAATCAGTACAAAAAATGGCTTAACAATTTGTATAAAAAGCGTCAAACAAAACTCATATGACATCAGATTTATTTAGCATTTGCATAATATTTGCAAAATGTTGACTCTAAAAAAGACAGCTGATACCCTTGGCAACCGATTTGGCAATAATCGGCTCTGTTCAGAGATTGTTCGATGATGAACATGTTCTTGTTTAGCGATTAAACTGAAAGATAGAAACAACTTATACAGACAATAAGTGTATTTTGCTACAAAGATATGGAAAATTGAAAATAGAAAAGTTAAAGGCGTCAATTAAAGTATAAAGATTGATTGTTAATTCCGATCATTTTTTTTCTAGAAAAGCAAAATATGAAAGAGATGTTTCAGACTCTGATTTATCTTTTATTTCGAGTTCAGAAGCATATATGAAACCAAGATACCTGATATATCTCTCGAACAATTTCTGGTAGAAATGTATTTAATCAAATGAAAAATAGTGCAGATGAAAGATAACATGTTTTGAAGACCTTATTTATAAAAAATAATTCTACATATAAAACTCTTGTTATGATTTGTATCATTTATCAGTCACTTTATAACACTCATAAGCACGACTATCTAAGCTAGGGTTTAGCAACCTTACAATTGAGCCAATATTGGATACAAAATTTAAAAAAGTGGACAAGAATATCAAAAGTAAGTATTTTATAGAAATAATCTAGTAAAATTTGTTTTCAGACTATGAAATATGAAAAATGAAAAACTAAGATTACGAAAAATAATTAAGGTTAAAAGCCATTAAAAATGAAAATCCGTAGCAGAGCAAAGACGGATCTCTAAAACAATCAGAGGTGGGATCAAGTTAACAAAAAGTTTTTGCTTTTATCATGAGAGTTAGGAAAGAATTAACAAATTTCTATATATCCATTTTCTATACTGAAATGTGTTCTACCGTCGAAAATGGCTAAAAGTAAAACAAATCTATCTGCATCTGCAAACAAGGAATGCATTGAAAGTATAGAAGCCATTTTTCTGTCTAACAAGTGTTAGAATATCTGATATCTTTTTTTCGTTAAGCTTACTAATAAAACTAGAACTATACAGTAGTTTGAGTTTGGAAAACTAACTGAGAATAACTACACAATTTTTATAGAATTGTTCATTGCCTTTTACTCTCAGTTCTTAATAATTTTCTCTTTTCGTATCATTTACCTCCACTCTAGGAAATTAATTCTCCTTCCACAAAGAGTTTTTGACATTGAAATTAAGATAATTTTATCGTGCCCAGTACAGGATTAGCAAGTCTGATCAGATTATAGCGACAAATTACAGAGCAATCAGAGAGGTGGTTAGTCTTTTATGAGCTCAGACATAAGGCATTTGATTTATTATTGCATTGATTAGATATTTGAAGCAAAATTGACTACATATTGCTTCAGTTCAAACGGTGGAGAAACCTAACGACTAACATGGGTAGAAACATATCTGGGAAAAAATCATTGCAGTTTGACAAGTACATATGTAATAGCATCATATAAAAATCCGCAAAATATGTTGACAATGAGACTTTTTTAAAATGCCCTGACTGATGCGTTCGAGTTTGCACATAATGCTTGGCTCAATTTAGTTAATGAGTTCATTTTAAAAAAAACATCATTAGTAGAAATGCACAATTATTACGTAATTAAAAGAATTTTGCAATGCCACCAGACATATCTATCAGGGAGGATAAAGAAAGAAAAAGATCAAGGCAAAGGTCAAACTTGACACTCTTTTCCAAACACAATTCAATTACATGTTAAAGTTCCTGATTAAACACTTTGGAAAATCGATTAAATTTTGAAAGTATTTCGCACCGGTAACCCCGAAGAAATGAAATACTGTTACTTCTTCTTATTTTAATAGCTGTCAATTTCAAGGATATCTTTTTGTTGCAGGTAACATAAATTGCTACCTAACCTTCTACAATGTACAGCAAAACAGATATGAACAATTTGATAAGAAACATTACATGTATGAAAAAACAAGTAAGCAATCTGTTTCTGTTTTCCAATGAAAAAGTATGTAAAATTGCGGAAAATGAAATATGCCAGAAAATGTGGTGAACCTTCACGCGAACTTTGTAGACTATGTTGTATGAAAAATCAATATCTAAAATGAAACAAGCATCAGATGTTGAGTACTCCATTTCAAAGCATTACATCTGAATCGAATATCGCGCTGCTGACAAGGGACTAAATGTGGGCAATGATTTATTATCAATGAAATCCTTTATATCTTTATATAATCTGTTGAAAAAAGGCTTGATGTGGGTTTTTTTTTCTTCCAATGAATAAAAATTTCAAATTATTTAATCTGTGAAACTAATATACAGATGATCACATCGCAAAAATGTGTGTGCATATTTCTTTTCATTGTAAGAAATTACCCAGTATGATTTTTTTCTATACAAGGTTTAAAAGAGAAAATACGGATTTTAATTGTCTGTAGATTTGAACATGTTCATAATAAAACTATAGTCTAAGGAAAACACAAGTATATTCACCCTTAGAAATATGTGTATGTTCTTATCTATCTAGAAAAAAAAATATGAAAAAGTCAGGAGAACCTTGTATAAAATGATTGCCAAATACATACATAAGAAAAAATAATTATTAAAAAAAAATAGAGAGAGAAGAAAAGAATAAGGACAGGGTTATTTTTTCTTTATTTCGACATTGTAATCTACTTCTTTTGTACAAATGTTTCATCATTCTGTTCTGATTGTACATGCTATTTGTTCTCTTTTGCTTTGCACTTTCTTAACTTTTCATATCATTTCATGAAATGAAAAAAAATTACCTTTTTTTCTAACGTTCAGTCTTATTTTAAACAAAAAAGTTGGTGATAATGATGATGATTATAATTATTTTTGTGATGTTCTACAAATTTAATTAAGGCTTCTGTTTTTGATTTAACACATATAGACCATTAGATCGATCCTACATGAGGCACCTACTGTATATTTGTCTTTTGTAATATTAGGATTGCAATTACATTCCATTCGGAAATCATTACAAGGAAATGTGTATTTCAGAGAGAGAGAGAGAGAATAGGACAGAAAGAGATAAAGGGGAAAGACAATTATTTAATTAGTTTATGAACATAAGGAAAAGGAAGCTAGAACGTACATAAGATTTTATTAATTGAATACACATATGCTATTAGTCTGTACTCAACATGTCATGAATGAAACGGCTTATGATAAATATAAGGGATATCTACCAGATAAAATTCAATAAGATGTCATTCATTTCCAGGTTTATTTCAATATATGTGCTGCAAAAGTCAATAAAACGAATTGCATTTAAAATTGTTATTAAACAAAAAAGGAACGTGAGAAAGAAAAACATTGTCTGTAGATTATGACCGCACAACCATAATATATCTAGAGCTTGGCTTCTAATTCGAACTGAATATGAATGATGATTTTGTTGAGAAAAAAAAGGACCGTTTTCACATCTGATATGGTAAAAAAGTCCACATAAATGCCCAACGCCTTGCTTAGCTAATGTATTGTATTCAGACATAACTGGTAAAATGGAAAATTTCTCAATTATTCCCATTATGTCTGTAATTAACGCATATATAGATAATCTCACAAGACAATATTGGCTAAAATACTGAATGGAAAGTTGTTCCACAGAGTAATATATTCCCATGTTTCCTATATTACTTATGTAATATGATTAAAGAAATTCACTTTATGAACATTTTACCAAAAACAGGGAGGATTTATGGCGAAAGGCATTGTTCCTCAGGGTACAATATAACTTGAGACATCATTTCTATACCAAGCAGAAATGATTTTAAGAGTCGGTAAGTCTGAGTTGACTTAGTCCAAAGTCTCAAAATTTTACAAAAAAAGTTAATGATAACCTACTTAAATGCATATTTTCCCATAAACCCTTTTTCATTAGTACCTATTACTTTTTTAAAAATATATTTCAAAACAGCAATCATTACAGGTATAAACATTGAGTTTTTAAAAACCGTTGCCTGCTAAATTAGAAATTTCCTGATAAATCCAAGAACAGGGATTATAGTGTAATGCATACATGTATATCTTATGCCATATTGATAAAATTAATACAGGATACGTACCTTGTCAAAAGCGATGATGATGCGAGAAGAGTGGTCTCTATCTACACCATAAACCGATAGCCATCTCATCCAACGACACATGCCTCGCTGAGCAGACGGCGGATGTCGTTGTAAACTCGACGCAGACATACTATTAAACATGGCGGACTTAATTCTACTCACGGGAAGAGAACGAAGTCCATTAAATATTAAATATGGTCGTGAAATATCATTTATGAATTTGACATCCACACAGTTGGCGGTGGCTGCCTACTGCGTCTGGAAAAGGTTTAATGTGGCCATTTTCCGTGTATAATTTGATAATGACACTTGTTTGAGCCATTTGTTATTTTGATATAAAATCGAGTGACACTAGGGCTGTTTTAGTCTGGAAGATTCAGAAATTGATTTCAAATTATATCAATTTTTTTTCTTTATCAGTTGTACCGACGCATTTATGGATAATCGAAAAAGCAGTAGTTATTTTGTATGATATTGTTTATAATTATAAATGAAAAAGGAAAAGATTTTGTTGCACGTCAAATTTGGAAGCAATTTTCTTCAATATCAAACAAAACAATTTAAATCTTTTAGTTGATATTTGACGTAATATACCAGTACATTCGAGGTGGGTATAATTTTGAACTCTAGTGAGTAACCATCGTGCAAATGAACTTACGCATGATTTGCAATGTCATAAATAATTGTCATTTTGACCATTAAATCGATTAGCTACTAAAAGACCATAACTTATTAAGGGAAGTAAAAGTCCCCTTTTCTGGATATCAGTAGTGTTGATAAACTTAAGTACTTAGTAAAGTCGTAATATACTGAACACACGCAAAATCAAGGTAGAGAACAGATAAATTGTGTTATCTTTCTTACTTTATTTTATTTGTCCAGTGTATAGAGAGTAAAGAAGTTGTTGAAATTTCGGAATTAACGAATTGATTTTATAATATAAGACCATGATAAATTATTGCTCTTTTTCAACATAATTCTTCTTATCAGATCAGGGTATGGGTAGTTTTGAAAGTTAACAGGTAAAATATGTGGATATTATGAACAGTATTGGAGCCCAAATTGCCATTAAATATTTCAAAGTAGGAGCAGAGCAAACACGGACCTCCAAAATATCAGGGGTGGGATCAGGTGTCATGCAGGAGTTAGCTTCCCCTGTCGACCGGTCAAACCCGCCCCATGTGCTCCTTGTCATGATCGGGAAATAACAGAAAAAAAATCCGTGGATAATTCGTGTAAAGATAATGGCTTTACAATCATTGTGAAAAAAGTCAGTCAGCATTTGATTTAATGATAAATTGTATTTGCTAACAAGGTCATTGTATCGACCATTGAACTTAAGGAATAATGACTTTATACGGGGCTGCTGGTATTCTTGGTTAATCAACTTGTTTGTCAATAATTTACCTCGTTTTAGAAATGGTCCATGCGATGAGATATAAAGTATATAAGATAGATACTCCGTATGCAAAGGTATTTTCCCTAACAAAAGTTAAATATTGTTAATTATAGTTAAATATTAGTAAAATCTTTGATACTTTGATTTACATTTTACTATGAAACTTTACTTTGAAATCTCTTAAATACGATAAGACTGATGTAAAATTTGGAAATAATATCTGAATACAGATGATAGTTCCATTTAATACAGAAAATGTGCATGTATGAATTGAAGAAGCAAAAATATAACAATCCGAAATCCAAGGTAAAATTACTAGTACTTTGAATTACTTTAGTAAAAAACTGATACTATAGTAAACTATTGTTAACTAAAGTAAACTATAGTTAAGTGTAGTAAACTATATTTAACTATTATATAGTTCTTTTTTGTTCAGGTTGTTGCATAAGGGAAGTTGAGGAAGTAAGGGAAGTTGACGATTGAAAAGTTAAAGTCATCATGTTAATCATAAAGCATGTTTCTTAGATAACCATTAATATCTTTTCTAGTAAAAGATCCAAATATGAATCAGATGTGTCAGACTCTGTGGTATTTTTTATTTCAAGCTCACCGAATATCGTGTCGACATAACAATGGAACTTATTATTGTTAATTCACAATACGTCTTCGATATATCTAAACGTCAAATTAAAGGCCACAACAAATGTTTTCTTCTTTTCACGTAAAAGATTTTGAACAAAGTCTGCTTCATATGAATACAAGTACAGGTCTGCTAATAACGTGGCACATTTAGAAGAAACAACTACTTACATGTACATTGTCGATATTCTGTGGATTAAGTTGTTATTAAAGCTATATACATATAGCTATAGGATAAGGTGGTAACAAAGCGAGTTTTGAGGAAAATCCATCTAAGTGTCCATCACGCTTTCTTTTTTCCCTAGAAATAAAATTGAGATGAATTTTAAGAATACAATAGAGTAATACTGATGATTTTTTTTCAATTTTTTTGTAAATCAATATTCGCAAAAACCCTAGATTATCCTCCTTATCGCAAATCATTAAAACAAGCAAGAAGAATTTCTATAAATAGTAAAAATATTCTTATTCAAATTATAAGATTCATCTGTAATCACCCCAAACTTCTTGATCAAAATACTTATGTACTGAGATTTAAAAAAATATGATTGAATGATCAAATTAATACTAAATATAGTGTATTCATAATTCCATAAAAATGCACTTTTTTAAAATAAACAAATAAAAATCAAATGCATTACCAACAACCATAGAAGGATCTTTAATCATTAGTTTACACAAAAACAAAAGCTTTCAGATACATTTTTGTGATTGTGGTAAAAAGGAAACAAGAAGCCACTAAAAGACGAGTTCAGCTACCGGTTATTTACATTTACTGTTGTTGCGTTTGTCTATCTTTGATTGGAAAAACTTGTTCAGAACGTATTCACTAAAGCTTAACACCGTTATAAAAATCTAAGGAGCAAAGTTAAATCTAATTTGAATCTTAAAGGTTTTTTTTTTAATTTGTGTGCTAGATAAATTAATGGTTTACAGGCGTATGTGTTATTTTACGTTTCTTAATTGGTGTACATCATTAGATCAAGGAAACACCCATATTTTCTTCTGCAGTAAATTTACTTTTTTAACCATTTTTATTTTAATTCAACAACCTTTTCATTATGGTTAAATTAGGATTTAATAAAATAATGAAATGTGGAGATAATAAAGAGTATTCAAGCTCAAAAGTCATTTTCCAACAATACAAAATCGTGAGCAGAGCAAACATGGACCTCTAAAACACAGTGGTACATGTATGATCAGGTGCAATGGATAAATAAGTATCCCCTATAGACTAGTCTCAGCTGACGTGTGCATCCTTGTATGATCGGGAAAAACGAGGAAAAATCAGTTTGTAAATAATGGTCTAAAAATTGATTTGAAAGAACATCAGTAAGCATTGCCTAATTTGTATTTGATGAGAAGGTCATTGTATAGACCAAAGAAACTTCTGAAATGCTGACTTGTCAATAGCTTGTCTTGTGTGAGAAATTATTTGTGTGTATTGCATGCTCTGCATTGAATCAACTGGTAGACATAAACCCAATATGCGTGTGTTAGGGTTTTATAGCTACACACGTAAGGGATTTTAGAGATAGAAAAATTGAAGTCAATAACATTTTCCATAAAAATTTGTGTTGCTCTGAGATTACAAATATGAAACAAATGTGTCAGACTCCGTAGTATCTTTTCATTTTAAGCTCACTATAATATGTCGAATTGACATATGAATGGAAGTCACTATTTTTTATTGATAATTTGACTAGTCGTCGAAATATCTTAATGTGGAATTGATTAATTGATTGATCAATTGGTGCTGAATACCGGGTCTGCAATATTTCCACCATATTAAAATTGAAGGCCTATGCAAGTGTTTTCTTTCTTTCATGCATAAGATTTTCAACAAATCTCATTCCATATGAAAACAATGCTAATTACAATTGATATCCATGGCATTCCGACAGATACCTCGAAGACCTGATCGCCAAAGACCACATAGATTTTTTACAACAAAAACACGAGAAGCACTATTAAATTCAAACTTCAGATATTTTTGTGTCTAGATTTAAGAGTTCCATTTTTATTGAAAAAGCAGATGTCTATAATTTACTAGAGCACAGACTTTTAAAGTTTAATTAGAACTAAAATGGATAGCTTGCCATTGCTTAACAGAAATCTTGAATTGTAAAAAAAAATCTAATTCTAAACAAAACGTCTTCGTGGTTGACATAAAAAAGTTTGAGGATCTTATGACAAATTCTATATGCTTTTCGGAGAGCTGTTCTTCACAGTATCTTTTGAAATTCAATGAGTACATTTTGCTGCACAAGAACGCATAATGGATGTAACCTATCGACAATGAAATCCTTTATAACAAAATAAATAAAAAATCATCAAATACAATACAATGAAGGATAGGGAGATAACGAGCAGTATTCAATATCAAAGTCCATAAAACAATCGAAATAACAAAAAATAAGGAACAGAGCAAACATGGACCTCCAAAACATCAGAGCTGTAATCAGGTGCCATGGAGGAGTGAGCATCCCCTGCCGACCGGTCACACTCGCCATGTGCTCCTTGTCATGATCGGGAAATACCGGAAAAATCTGTCGTCAATTCAGAGTTTACATAATGGACTAACAATTAGTATGCTGACAAGGTCATTGTATCGACCATAGAACTTACGAAATTATGACTTTAAACGAGACTGCTGATACTCTTGTTTCATCAACTTGATTGTCAATAATTTACCTCGTTTTAAAAATTGTTCATACGTAGAGCATGCTCATGCGTATGGAATCAATTGGGATATATAAACTCCCTATGCAGGTAATGAAGGTATATTGCTGCATAAATAAGGGAAGTTGACGATAGAAAAGTAAAAGTTATCACGTTTATCATAAAGCGGTTGTTAGATTACCATTGTCTTTTTCAAGTAAAATATCCAAGTAGAAAACAGATGTGTCAGACTCTGTGGTATCTTTTATCTCAAACTCAACAGTATATCTCGTATGGACATTTATATGGAAATTATCATTGTTAATTAACGCTACGTCATCGATATATCTAAATGTCGAGTTGAAGGCCACAGCAAGTGTTTTCTTCTTTTCACGCATAAGATTTTGCACAAATTCTGCTTCATATGAATACA